TTTTTTTTTTTTTTTTTTTTTTTTTTTTGCTGTACGTGGGCCTCTCACTGTTGTGGCCTCTCCCGTTGCGGAGCACAGGCTCCGGACGCGCAGCCTCAGCGGCCATGGATCGCGGGCCCAGCCGCTTGGCGGCATGTGGGATCTTCCCGGACCTGGGCACGAATCCGTGTCCCCTGCATCAGCAGGCACAGTCTCAACCACTGCGCCACCAGGGAAGCCCGGCTCTGTCTCTTGGTCTCTCCTCCACAGTCACAGGTGGCCATGCCCAGGGACGGGTCCTGTCCTCCTGGTCCCTGGTGCAGGCCATCCAGACCTGTCCAGCTCGCCCTGATCTCCTTGGATTGATCTGTCACCCCTCTAGACTGCAGCCCGAGTCCTGTCGGTGTCTCAGCCCTCACCCACAGCCTGGTACACTGCAGGTGCTCCACCACCAGCGGGTGGGTGTGTAAGAGCGCGTAAGAACCTGAGCCCTGGGTGGGAGGGGGATTGCTCTGGTTCAGGCTTGGCCTGTTTTCCTTTCCTTTCCTTTTTTTTTTAAGCCCTCCCCCCACCCCTCCCCCAAATTTGATCCAAAGGAAATTGCTCAACTGTGACTGCCAGGGCGTTACTATGGTTACTCGATAGCACTTGTGGCTATGGTAACAGGAAGCTGCCTGTTGTCTCGGCAACGAGCACACTGGTAGGGGATGGAGTGGCCCCTGATTGGTGCAGAAGCATTGCATTTCCTGAGGGGAGGGGGTCAGATCATCACCTTCTCAGGCCAGATGGCCATCAGTACCCCTTCCTCCATGAACAGGAAGGCTGCTCTTCTTTCCTTCCGGCACTCAGCTGTCTGCCCCCCAACAATAATTCCTCACGTCCTACGCATCCAGCTCTTGGCTGTTTACAAAGACCTTTTGCGTCCCCATTATGTCATGTGATCCCCACAACACCCATGAGAGGAAGGTGAGATGGGGATTCAATCGTGAATTCTCTCAGGGTGGTTGGGGGATGGGAGTGGGTGGGGTATATATGGAAATCACCTAGGAGCGTTTACAAATTATACAATCCCCCAACTTAAGAGTCTGATATGGTTCCCAGGTGATTCTTATCTACCCCTGATCAGGGAACCCCTGAATTAGAAGGTGAAATTGGTTGGTGGGGGAGGGTATGGAGGGAGGAGTCAAGCTGCTTTCCAGGTTTATAGCCTGGATGACTGGATCAGGTTTGGGCAAAAAGATGAGCTCTGGTTTGGGTGTGTTGAGTGGAAGGTGCCAGTGGACTTTCTAGGCGGGGTGTCCGGCAAGAAGCTGGGCACATGGGTCTGAAGCTCAGGAGGGAGGTAAAGGCTGGAGACGCAGAGCTCTGAGTCATCACTGTGGGGACAGGAGCTGAGGCTGTCGGTTTGGATGAGATTAGCCAGGAAAAAAGGGAAGAGTGGGATGAGTAGGGCCAAGGATGGTGCCCTGGAGAACTCCAGCATCCTCAGGGGAAGGGGTCCCAGGGAGGGGACTGAGAGGGTGAGGGTAGAAACTATGGTGACATAGAAGCTTGGGGAAGGTTTTTCTCATTTGACAAGTTGAATCTGAGAGAGGATGGCTTACTCGAAGTCATACAACCATTAAATGGCAGAGTTGGGGGTAGATGGCCCTAAATCTGATTCCCAGATTATTTAATCTAAGTGACACATAGAAGTATATTCTCAGTTTTAGACACAGAACACACATCTGCCCTCCTACCCAATTCCTCGCACCCAAAGCCTTTAAGGAAGTCCAGGAGCCAGAGGGACAGGCCGCACATGGTCCCTACACAGAGCCAAGGCAGGAGAATCTTTTTGACCTCCACGGTCCCTCCTCTGCTTGCCCCTGAGCTTCCTATCGCCTAATCCTTCAGGCTTCAGCACCTTCTAAATTCCTGCCTTTAAGGGATGAATCTTGGAGAAAATCTATAATCCCTGTGTGAGAGTGGTGGGGTGTAGAGTTCAAAGGGGTGAGGGATTAGATCCTGAGGAGTCCAGGGGTGGAGAAGCCGGGGCAGGGCCAGGCAGTCACGCTGACTGGGTGTGTTGGTCCGATGTCTTTCAGATGAATCGTCCCATCCAAGTGAAGCCGGCTGCCAGTGAGGGCCGAGGAGGTAACTTGCCTGCCTGCCGAATCTCAGGGTATCATCCATGTCGGGGATGGTGGGCCCACTTCTGGAGTCAGGCCTACCTAGGGTTTATTACTAGAGCCTCCCTGGGTAAGGGGGGCAACTAGGGAGGGACCAGATTATTTAGCACCAGACAGCTCAGCCATCCCAGGTCAGACTAAAGAGGGATGGGGTCCCAGCATCCCCAGACCCAGAAGAGGCAGGAGATAGAGGCTGGACATAGAGGAAGGGAGTCCTTGCCACCTTGCCCCTGGAGAGAGTTCATTCCTGTTTTAACAGGTGGAACTTCCAGGTTTGTTTGAAGAACCAGGTTAGAGTTATTCTCCTTTTCCAGATCTTCTGATTACAGAGAACTCAGTCCAGTCTGGGTTGGAGCCATTCATTCCTTCATTTCAGTTGCCTTGGGAAAAAGATGAGGCTCGTAAGACAGATTTTGTAGGCCATATTAAGGAACTGAACTCTATGCTGAGGACCATGGAAAGTCTTCAAAAGTTTTTTTTTTTTAGCTGCACTGTTTCCTAATGCAGAAAGACTAATGCTCCTTAAGAACAGGAGGGTTTGAGAGCCTGTGCTTTTTTTTTTTTAATCTTTATTAGAGTATAATTGCTTTACAATGTTGTGTCAGTTTCTGCTGTACAACAAAGTGAATCAGTTATATGTATACCTATATCCCCATATCCCCTCCCTCTTGCGTCTCCCTCCCATCCTCCCTATCCCACCCCTCTAGGTGGTCACAAAGCACCGAGCTGATCTCCCTGTGCTATGCGGCTGCTTCCCACTAGCTATCTGTTTTACATTTGGTAGTGTATATAAGTCCATGCCCCTCTCTCACTTTGTCCCAGCTTACCCTTCCCCCTCCCCATGTCCTCAGTCAATTCTCTATGTCTGCGTCTTTATTCCTGCCCTGCCACTAGGTTCATCAGTACAATTTTTTTAGATTCCATATATATGCGTTAGCATACGGTATTTATTTTTCTCTTTCTGACTTACTTCACTCTGTATGACAGACTCTAGGTCCATCCGAGCCTGTGCTTTTTGACAACCAGCTGAGTTCTGGCCAGCTTCCATACTGGAAAAGCAATACTAGCTTCTGGTGTCAGTTCTTGGTGTCTTTCTTGCCCTTGGGTGTTAAATCATTCCAAGAAATCTGCCTGGAGCCCTCCCTGACATTTGCGGACTCCCTCTTAAATAAGACTTTCTCCTGAGGGAGACGCAAGAGGGAAGAGATATGGGGACATATGTATATGTATAACTGATTCACTTTGTTATAAAGCAGAAACTAACACACCATTGTAAAGCAATTATACCCCAATAAAGATGTTAAAAAAAAAAGACTTTCTCCCCACCTTAGGGAGGTCAGCCATGGCTTTTTATTAGGTAAAAGAAGCTGCCCAAGATCAGGGAGAGAATGGAACCCAATTGACAGACATTTATTGACTCCTAGTAATTCTGCACATCCTCTCAGACTTCAGGCTCAGTGTCCACACCTACAAGGGACTCTAGTAGCTTCATAGCTCCATTGTGGAGTTCTTCCCTCCAAGAAATCCATTCTTCCTCCTTTTAGATTTTCTGATTTTGGTCTCTTTGATTCTCCACTTCTGGTCAAGATGTTATCATCCCACTTTGTCTTAAGGAGATATTTCCAAGCTTCCTCCCTCTCCTCCAAACACAAATCCTCCTTTTCCATCTCATTCTTTCCAGACTGGTTTTTGAGAAGTTCCAGGATGCATACCAAACCTCTGGTTCACTTGTCCCAAGAATTTCTGCTTCTTGGGAAACTGTTAGGCATCAGGGCCAATGTTGGCCAACTTCTCAGCCCTGCCCACGAACACTAGACAGCTGAGAGGTCACCTGAGAGTACTTGAGTGAGCTAAGAAGCAGACAGATTGGGCTGTAGTTTGTTCAGCCATCCAACCAATATCTTTTGAGCAACTTACTCCACATTAGGAATGCAAGGCAGACCTGGCACCTGGCCTCATGGAGCTCTGGAGCTATAAGGGGATATAAACAGTAAAACAAAGCTATCATCCAGTGTGATCAATGCTTTTCAAGTCCTGGGGGATTGAAAAGCATTGGGGAAAACATGGGGCACCTTAGTCTGGGAGGTCAAGGTGGGCTCCCAGAGGTGGTAATATTTAAGCTGAGATCTCAAGGATGAACAAGAAGTAGTCAAATAGAAAAAGGAGGAGCAAGGGAGCAAGTATTTCAGGTGGAGGGAAGAGCATGTACAGAGCTCAGAAGAACATAATGCAACTTGGAGTCTGGTTCAGGAACTAAATCCAGGATGCTGGGGGCACACTTGCTGCTTGGAGTCCAACACCTCTTGCCAGGGTGAGGGCCACTGCCCAAAGGAGGCCTCCACGTTGATTATGCTTCTGCTTAGAGTAGTCCAGATGTCTTGGTCATCTGGGCTCCCAGCAGTGGCATCAGCATGAGTTTTATCATTTGCCTCCCCGTTTTTGTACAGGTTTTTCAGGTGTAACATCATTGACATATTCTGTACATATGGCATTTCACCTCTACACCTGTTCAGATTCCGAGCAGCTCAAGAGAGCAGGAAAAGAAAATCTAGCTGAAAAGAGGTCTGCCTGGCAGTAGAAGTCATAATTTTAGTAGTTATGTATAACATAGCTATTTCTTGACAAGTGATGGCTTTTTTCTTTCTTAACATCTTTATTGGAGTATAATTGCTTTACATTGCTTAAGTGATGGCTTTTAAAGAGCATATACTCCAAAGGCATCTGTGGATAACCCTTCTTGCAGTTTTGGATGACCAGATCTCTCAATTCTTTCGTGTTCCCACTCAAAATCACCAAATGTTCCCTGATACACATTTGGGAGACAGGAGGCATATGTACTAAGTCTTGCAAAACAGTTGGGTCTTTACAATTTACAAGTATTTTACTACCAACTGATCTGTGTTAGAGACTAATCAAAAGGTGTTTCTTCTCTTCAATGCTATTATATATCTCTTCAAAAGTGAGTTCAGGGCTTCCCTGGTGGCGCAGTGGTTGAGAGTCCGCCTGCCGATGCAGGGGACACGGGTTCGTGACCCGGTCCGGGAAGATCCCACATGCCACGGAGCGGCTGGGCCCGTGAGCCATGGCCGCTGAGCCTGCGCGTCTGGAGCCTGTGCTCCGCAATGGGAGAGGCCACAACAGTGAGAGGCCCGTGTAAAGCAAAAAAAAAAAAAAAAAAAAGTGAGTTCAGCTCTCTGCTGAATTGTAACACAAATTAATGCTTTAGAAACTCAACTTTTAAAATGGTATTGAATTTGGTTTTGAAATGTAACATTTGACACCAATGTAGGACAGCTTGTCTCATCCAAGTCTTATCTCTGTTATCCCAAACATTCTATAAACCTTCAGAGTTAATGGTCACACCTGCCCTGATACAGTTAAGCCTTTGAGCTTGCATATTTTAAAATTATTCCTGAAATTAAATCCTTTGTTTACAGTTGATTAATAATGATTTTTACATCTGACAAAAATACTGGTATCAATGCAGACATAATCAAGGGGGTATCAAGGCAAACGTAATCTTCCAAAATTTTGCCATTTTTTTTCTGGAAGGGATTATTAGATTTTTCTTCCCATAAAACAGGGATCACTAACTCAAATGCTATAGGAGCCAGGTAAGGAACCCTAAATGGGTGAGACTGTCATGACATAATGAAAGTTTCTGTTTTAATTATATTAAATTATATTAAATGTTGGCAACTAATTCAATTTTTAAAAGTGGGCCAGCATTGTGACAGCCTAACTAAACCTATCAGGTTTGCTTCTTCGGTCCAAAGACTGCCATTTTCTTTCCCATCTGCCATACAGGAGTATTATATTATGTACACATGCATGAGCTTTTTGACAAAAATAGTTACTTTACATTCTATCTCTTGAATTTTCATGCCAATGCAACAGAGTAGTATTACTCTTATTTTTAATCACTAGACATGAGGTTTGTGGTTGAAATGACCTATATTTTATTTTCTTATAACTTCTATTATAGGTCTGTTTTATTTTCACTTCCAGCCAATGTTGTAGAAATCAAAGTGTTAGCACAGTAGGGGAGAGCCTGAATAGAAGTAAAATTGTTTTCATTGAAAAAAAAATGTTTAAAGCAAATTTATAAAAATATTTTTCATAACACCTTGGAAAGGTACAGAGACATCCTGTCTTCCTCCCGCTATAACATTACCTACAACATCATTGTTCTTAAAACCACCCATTTGTTCCTAGGAGGAGACCAAACAGCTCCTCCTAAATCTGAAAGATCATAAGACTCTCTGTATAACCATGCTCTACAGGTCACAGATAGTCTCATGAACTTGATTCCCCCCACAAGCTTCTAGAATAGGTAGGGCAGGAAGAGCTATTTCCTCCAAGCTTCCAAATAAGGAAACAGAGGCTCTGAGGGCAAAGCCATCTCTGACTTTCCCCGTCTGACTTGGAGTCCCCTCATAGGCACTTCGAAATAACCTATATTTTAAACACACTGTATGTTGCATTACTTTTAGAAGTTACTGGTAACACTTGCACATTCAATGCTTACAATGCAATAATAGCAACACAAGATCTGCCCGATAGAAGGTCTGGGGCCCTCTTCTTTCATGGTCATCCCTTGCAGCCTTGGTGGCACTCAGAGTGCATCCAAGTCTTCATGGACTATATTATAGTAGCCTTTTAATGTATGCCAGCCCTATGTGTATGTTTATACATACATATTTATACATATGTTTAATGTATTCCAGTTCCCATAAATTCTGCAGTCAAGTCCCACACTGTTCATATACTCCATGCTCTGTGCCTATATTTTACATCCTGTGGCATTGAACAGTACACTTTTTAATTTTTTCAATAAATTTCTTTATTTTTGGCTGTGTTGTGTCTTCGTTGCTGAGCACGGGCTTTCTCTAGTCATGGCGAGTGGGGGCTACTCTTCGTTGCGGTGCACGGGCTTCTCATTGAGGTGGCTTCTCTTGTTGCGGA